TTTGAGCATAAGATTTTGCCATGCTTTGACTGAATTTGAGCATAAGATTTTGCCATGCTTTGACTGAATTTGAGCATAAGATTTTGCCATGCTTTGACTGAATTTGAGCATAAGATTTTGCCATGCTTTGACTGAATTTGAGCATAAGATTTTGCCATGCTTTGACTGAATTTGAGCATAAGATTTTGCCATGCTTTGACTGAATTTGAGCATAAGATTTTGCCATGCTTTGACTGAATTTATGTACTAATATTAGAAATGCCATGGTTATGCTGATTTTTTTTGTTTAAAATTTGATCTGCATGGGCTGAATTTGAGCATACGACTCGCCCTGCTTTGACTGAATTTGTGTACAAGTCGTGCTCTGCGTTGACTTAATTATTGTATAAAAACTTGCCCTGCCTTAACTGAATTATGTCCTGTTTTGACTTTTGAGATTTTATTTTTTTTAATAAAAAAGGTATGGATTAGATTTTGCAACTTGATACTTTTCAGAAAAAGAAATAACAAAACAGCACGAATGTTTAGCTTGCAGACTATGTTTGTTTTAAATACGGACAAGGATTTTTATGAACCCTCCATAAATGTGTACATTAAATATCATATTTCGAAACTTTGCAATGATTTAGTCTACGTGTTTTATGTGTGCATCATCCATGCTGCAAATAAAACAAGGGAACTAATCAAAACAGTCATAATTATTTGAAATGTAAGATTTCCCTCCCATGCATTATAATAGAACCAAGAAATCTAAAAATAACTCCTGTAATATTATGTCTATTACAGTCAGTTCCTGACAATCTTTACTCGTCTGCTTTTATATGTTTTAATATTTCTAGTTTTGGAATACAAGAGACAACATATTAGGTAAATATTTCTTTTGCCGTTATTTGTTAAAGATTTAAAAAAAAAACTCAATTCAAAACCGACAAGACAGTATTCTGAAAAATAATGTCCAAATAATTTTGGCCGCAACCAAACTCACGATAATGTGTTTGGGATAGACTGGAACCCACAGGTTGCTTTGTGTATAGCGATGACAAAAATGGTGGGATATTTTACCTGCAGAGCGGCTTTAGTGTCCAGCTTTATTTGTCATCCAATGAAAACGCTGTATTTCTTAAAAATTATGTGTGTTAATTTTCATAGAAGAAAAAAAGTCGATACTATATTGAAATCCGTTCATAGTCGCCTTCTATTTTTCATAGTGCTTCATAGTACCGCGTAGTGACGTAATCAAGGGCCAAATAAAGCTTGACACTAAATATGTTAGTGTTCATCCTTAGCTGTTCTACAGAAATTAGAAACATTCTCCTGTCGCTATCGCTCCCGTCGAAGTTTCTAATTTCTGTAGAACAGCACGGATGAACACTAACATATACATATAGCTCTAAATGTCAACACTACTCACTGTGCTTGGACGATCGGGGTTACAAAATTGTAATCCAATTTAATTACAGCAACATGAATAAAAATATTTATGTCATAGAAATTTCAAAGTCCAACTAATTGTGTTTCGAGTTGAGATGGTGTGCTATTTTTGTATGGGCAATATCTCCCCTCTATAAGAATAGAGATTCTGACCAGAACAAAAATATCTCAAAATCTAGCATTGGCACTAGTCTTCAAAATTTTACTAGGGAATGTCAGTGACTGCTATTGCTCTATGTCTCTTTGTATCAAGGATGTATTCTATTGTTACTATATTTGCAAAGTTGTTAATTATTGTTCTTAGCTATCAGTAGTTTTTATTCTTAATGCTTAAAACCTTAAAACATATCAAATCACTCCCGATTAAAATTCGTTTTTGAAAACTTAGGGGAATTTCGGTGGTTCCCTTGACAATCACTGTCGAACTTAAGGCCCGTAATGTTCAAATGAATTGACATTCACTCATTCGTTCGTTCGTTCGTTCGTTCTTCATTCATTGATTTAATCAATCTTCAATCAATCAATCAATTTGGTAATGAACCAATCAATCAATCTTTCACTTTTCATTCACCCAATCAATCAATCAATGTGTCATTTAATTAAACAGAAATAAATTGATAAATAAAGATAAAAAGTAAAAACAAAACAGATAGAGTATTCAATTGTTTCTTTTGAATACTTAAAGAATATAATTATATAACTGAATTGTATAGGAAACCAATCAATGTGCTGTAGGAGTCTCTGTGTCCCTTAATCGTGAATGTCCCACGCAAATATTTTTTCTATATTTTTGCTAGTCCTTTGGGATCATTAAGTGTCTTGCTGGGCTCCTTGCCGGTGATCCTGTGATTGGGCATACGTTCATTGAATGCCGCCCTTCCTTGTTGATCTCTGTTTTATATTTTCTGATACGCACTGAAAATGTATTTCTCTTATGCACAGGCTCAATAAAAATGTAATTTTCCCCCTATTACCCCCTCTGTCTCATTTTGAAACACTGAAGTAGTGTCTTTTTGTTTTGCAAGGTTTTATGTGTTTTTTTTTGTTTTTTTTGTCTCTTTACCAATAAATTCAGAATCGCCTCTGCCCATTCTTTCTCCATCCTCCACGACGTTTCATCGGAACGACCTTGACCTCCAAACTGTCGTCTGCAGCATCGTTGGAAGCCAACCTCTTTATGATGCCGCGGCGTTTAGGAGCTGATGCTTCAATCTCCCTGGAGATCTCTTCAATCAAATCTTCGGCTGCTCTAATACCAGATAAAGCTTCTTCTGATAGAGACATAGATGGCGCAGCTGGTAAAGAAATTGCGTCGGCAATCTTTTGCCTCTGTGCCTCCAAGTAAAGGGCGATACCTTAAACAAAAAGCGGACATAAGGTTCTATAATTTTTATGGTCCATTTAATTATATAGTTTACTTTTACATTAATGAATTACAAATTCTTAGTTACGTGCACAGAAGTGGTTTATATGTGAACGAAAATCTCAAATATGCCTTTGTACAGTGTATTATGCTAAATTGGCGCCGCGACCATAGAATGCCTTTTATGTTAAATTTTGTTCGTATATTCAAGTTGGTAATTGTATCCTTAAGGAACGGAACAGATTTTCCATTATTGAAACATGCCTTTAGATTTATAAATTAATTAACATTTTATTCATTTTTTGTTTTAATTTTGCGAAGTACAAATTGTACATGTATATGAATTTTAAGAAAGAATTACAATGTGAATAATTACCAAATTCAATTTTTCGTTTCCTATCATGCCATGCTTTGACCTTTCTCAAAAATGACCTTGGCAATGGAGGAGGGGTTATGACCCTCAACCGGGGACGCTTTGCTGGGGGTAAAGCCTCGCTATCAGGACTGCTAGACCGCTTCCTCTTTCGGGATGCATGTCTGAAAAATAATTTTTAAAATACGTATCAATGATATAAGTAATGACAATGACGGCCGAAAAAAATCTATATTTAATAACAAAATGATAAATATGTGTTGTGAAAGAAACCAAGCATAGATCAACGTATGTTTGTCATTATCTAATCCAAACAAATGAAGTTCAGTTATTTCAATTTGATTGTTCCAAATCAGACCGCTTTTGAAAAAAATAAACAAATCATTAAATAAAATACATGTAAGTACTTACTTTAACATGTCCTGAAGACGTTCAACGCTTTGTGTTGTTTTCTTCATTGCAAAATGTCGTCTGCTTGAAAATTGTCGTCTGCTTCTAAAGATTGCTGTATCTGTTTTGACGTTGTTAGCCAAAGTAACAACGACGTCATGACGACATCGTCAGTTACGTCACAATGTAAATACGTCATTGACGTTAATAAACATCGAAGCAGATCTATATATGTTTTGGGGAAAGGCTACCTATAAATTGATCAAAGATATTTTTCCTGAACGACATTGGCAACTGTACCAGGATAGAAAACACTGTGTCCGAGGTTATAAAGAAATCTTCATAGCTCAAACTCAGATATCAGGCATTTGATTGGTCAGAAATTGCCACAGAATGTTCACTGACAAATAAAAATCTTGAGATTTGAGACAGAACTCAGTAAAAGTTGTATAACCTTGAGGCCAGGCTTTATATTTATACTCACTTTTCATAGAATGGCACTTACGTGCCATATTTAAGTTCATGATAACCGCCATATGAACACATCTGCGTATCTGTTTACTAGTTCATGTTAAATGCTGAATTCTGGTTTAAGTCGGTGCTAAGGGGCGGCGTGTATGGTAGCTTGCAGTTACCACCAACTTCCATAAACAGGCTCAATCAAACTGATCCTGCAACATTTTTTTTTTCAATTTTGACTGTTGATAGTCAGATTTGTTTAAAATTGTACATCGGTTGGCATACTTCAATCAAAATTGGTTGTCACACATATTTTCAATCATAATTGCACCGAAACAGACTTTATCTTCGTTTGGATGTCAAATATATACATTTGTTTTACATTATCGAAGATTACACTCTCTGTTTCTGAAACAACGTGGTAGAACTATTAACTCCGGGGTTATTATAGATAATAGCCGAGGGTGTTCCGATTGGTCTTGCGATTACAAGCATCTGCTACTTCCGGTCACTTCCGGTCACGGTACCTTTCTTGCGTATTCAAAACTTCGCAAAAACGAAATCAACAGGTCTGAGGAGTCTTTAAAGATGAAACCTTTCTTTAACACATGTCACCATATGCTTACATCAATACAATAAGCTGAATTTATGTACAAGACTCGCCCTGCTTAGACTAAAATTGTGTATGACAATTGCCCTGCATAGGCTGAATTTGTGTATAAGACTCGCTCTGCTTTGGCTGAATTTATGTACAAGAATTGCTTTGACTTTTGAGATTTAGTCATTATAAAAATAGAAAAATTCTATGTATGAAATTTGGTAAAATTGTTTTATGTTGTAAAAATAATAAAGGGAACTAATCAAAACAGTCATAATTCGTTGGCGTGTAAGATTTCTCTCCCATGCATTGTAATCTAAAAATATCTCATGTTACAGTCAGTTCCTGACAATCTTTACTCGTCTACTCTTATATGTTTTATTATTTTCTAGTTTTGGAATACAAGAGACAACATATTAGGTAAATATTTCTTTTGTCGTCATTTGTTAAAGAAAAATAAAAGAATTCGCAATTCAATACCAACAATACAATATTTAAAAAAAAATGTGCAAAGAATTTGTGTCCGCGACCAAAACCCCGGATGGGGTAAGCTGGAACCCACAGGTTGCCGGATACAAGGCGATGACAAAATGGATATTTTAACAGCAGAGCGGCTATATAGTTCTCAATGTCCGCACTACTCATTGTGTTTGGGTGATCGGGGTTACAAAATTGTAAAGTCCACTTAAAGATCTAATTTAATAACGACAACACCGTGAATAAAAACATTACTGTCATAGAAATTTCAAAGTCCAACTAATTGTGTTTTGAGTTAAGATAGTGTGCTATTTTTGTATGGGCAATATCTCCCCTCTATAAGAATAGAGATTCTGACCAGAACAAAAATGTCTCAAAATCTAGCATTGTCATGTCAGAATTTTACAAGGGAATGTCAGTGACTGCAACTGCTCTATGTCTTTTTTGTATCAAGGATTTATTATATTGTTATTATATTTGCAAAGTTGTTACATGTAATTCTATAATTATTGTTCTTAGCTATCAGTCGTTTTTATTCTTAGTGACATCAAATCACTCCCCATTAAAATTCTTTTTTGAAAAACGAGAGGAATTTCGGTGGTTCCCTTGACAATCACTGTCGAACTTAAGGCCCGTAATCTTCAAATGAATTGAACTTCATTCGTTCGTTCGTTTGTTCGTTCGTTCGTTCATTTAATCAATCTTCAATCAATCAATCAATTTGGTCATAAACCAATCAATCAATCTTTCAGTTTTCATTCACCCAATCAATCAATCAATGTGTAATTTAATTAAACAGAAATAAAAAAGATAGATAAAGATAAAAAGTAAAAACAAACAGATAGAGTATTCAATTGTTTCTTTTGAATACTTAAAGAATATAATTATATAAGGGAATTATATGGGAAACCAATCAACGTGCTGTAGGAATCTCTTTGTCCTTTAATCGTTAATGTCCCACTCAAATAGTTTTCTATATTTTCTAGTCCTTTGGGATCAATAAGTGTCTTGCTGGGCTCCTTGCCGGTGATCCTGTGATTGGGGATGCGTTCATTGAATGCCGCCCTTCCTTGTTGATCTCTTTTTTTCATATTTTCTGATACGCACCGAAAATGCACAGGCTCAGTCAAAAAATGATGTTGATTTCCCTTTAGTTACCCCTCTGTCTCATTTTGAAACACTGAAGCCTTTTTGTTTTGCAAGATTTTATGTGGATTTTTTTGTGTTTCTTTCCCACTTAATTCAAAACCGCCTATCTCCCTTCTTTCTCCATCCTCCACGACGCTTCACAGGAGTGACCTTGACCTCCAAACTGTCGTCTGCAACATCGTTGGAAGCCAACCTCTTAATGATTCCACGGCGTTTAGGAGCTGATGCTTCAATCTCTCTTGTTATCTCTTCAATCAAATCTTCGGCTGCTCTAATTCCAGCTAAAGCTTCTTCTGATAGAGACATAGAGGGCGCTGCTGGTGTAGGAAATGCCTCGGCCATTTTTCGCTTCTGTGCCTCCAAGTAAAGGGCAATACCTGCAAAAAGACTCTGACATTGACATTCGCTCTTTAAGCAGATGCAAGAAAGTGTGATTAATTGATAAAAGACTTCTCGAGGATTGTTGTTAGCTTACAGATTTATTCTATGCGAAACACATATTTGTATATAAGAATATGATTCTTAAACAAAATGATCGAAGACTAGTCTTGTCGTAAACTGATATCCTAAGTTTTATTTATCACTTTGAAAAGGAAATGAATTAATTGTAGATAATTAAAATATAAACACAAAGTTTGTATGTGGTTTATAAAGTGAAATGACTTGTTTTAAAGAAAGTTTTCAACAGTATATACATTTGTATTTACCTAATTCAATTTTTCTTTTCCGATCATGCCACGCTTTGACCTTTCTCAAAAATGACCTTGGCATTGGAGGAGGAGTAATGACCCTCAACCGTGGACGCTTTGCTGGGGGTAAAGCCTCGCTATCAGGACTGCAAGATCGCTTCCTCTTTCTGGATGCATGTCTGCAAAACAAAGTTAATGACAAAGTTATATCTATTGACTTTATGATGAGTGAGTTATGACAGGAACATAATAATAAACCAAACAAAAAAACACTATTTCTTTCAAGTTACATGTGTGTTCAATTGAACATTTAGCATGCCTGCAGTAACAAATGCTGTCTATGCAATCAGTGCAGTCAAAGAGCAGGTTGCACATCCATACATTCAGACAAGGTTTTGAAAGACCCTGGTTCAGATCATAGTCAGCACTGCTCGCTTTTCAGTCAGTCCTTATTTTACTATTTTTCGGGCTTTTTTTAGGTTTTTTTTGTTTTTGTTGTTGTTTGTTTTTGAAAAATGGACAAATCCATATAAGACATTTAGCGAGGTAAGTGGTAAAATACAGCTTTTCTTCTGGTAGAAATATCTCAAATGAACTGCCTTATGTCAATGCATCAAATGAACTGCCTTATGTCAATGCATGTATTTTACTTGATCCGGTATGTTCTATTGAATTAATAGTTTAGAAGAAAAACGAATCACATAATTTGCCAAAATTAACATTGCACATCAATTACGTATCTCAAATAATATGATGCAGTCATGTATAAAATACAACTTAAATGCTATATCAGTACTTACTTTAACATGTCCTGAAGACGTTCAACGCTTTGTGTTGTTTTCTTCATTGTAAGTTGTCGTCTGCTTAAAAACTGTTGTCTGTTGCTAAAGATTGCTGTATCTGTTTTGACGTTAATAGCCTCAGTAACAACGACGTTATGACGGTAATGCCTTTTACGTCACAATGTGAACATGACGTCATTGACGTTGGTCATTTATTTTGATGCGGCTCTGACTGGAGTGCATGATATCTAAAAATTCAGTAGCGATGACTCATTATCTAAATGGATTGATATTTTTACATAAGGACTGTAGGCTTTCAAAGATGTACTCGCTCACAAATAAAACAGTTGCAGTGCCTTATATATAAGGGTAACTTGAACTAATAATTATAAGGAGTCAATGATGACAAAGCCCCACAAGTAACTTTTTACACGCCGAAATGCACTTTAAGCCTTTAATTCATCTATTCACACCGATTTATATATATTGTACAATCATGACCGAAAATGTAAGAATCGGCGAAAACAGCGATATTTTTCTACTTTGTGATCATGATTTTTGCAATTTAGAGGTTTTGCCCCAACACTATTATTGCTCCAACACTAGTAAGTTAAATGAACTTAAATCCCTAACTAGTGAGATCAAAACCAATTCCTTCTATTACATGGGCCAGTATAGGGCTGCTTCCCCAAAGAAAATTTCTTTAAAATCATGCAATTTTCCCCAGAAATTGAATTTACATCAATTTTTTTCTTCCCTTTTTGCAAATATACCATGTAATTTTCCCCCATAATTAAGGGCTGGGCTGCTTCCCCAACTTGTGAAAAAAGCCCTGCCTCTTTATCAAGAGTCGGTCGCTCTTCCCCATACACCAATCTTTGTAAACAAGAGCCACCGCCGGGCGGGGCAACGCTCGACATGACTGTAACAATACCAATTCAAAAGAAAAGTCGAGCTAAAAACAACAAACA